CGCCAGGCCTCTTGTTTGCAGGCGCTGGACTTCCTACCTCAAACCGTCCTCACCCCGTTTCTGCAAAACTCCCGTCCAACCTCAAGCCCACCTCCCCGGCACTGCCTTCCCCACCCACGCCCGTTCAGGCACTGGTGTAGATAAATATTTGCTGAATTAGTGTGAGTGTGCCCTGATCAAACTGACCCCCGAACACGGACATTTCAACCCTTGAATATGCCACCTCCCCCATTCTGTTCTCTTTGAGCCCCACATGGGGTCATGTTTGGGGAAAATAAATATCTTCTTGGCTTCAACCGTGTGCTCTGTCCTATCTGTCCTATTGTCATTGCTCAAACACTATCACTTTAGTCTTGATAATGCTTGAGCCCAGGTAACGGGATGGCTACCCAGGGTTTTATTATCTACGTTTGTAAACCATTTAAATGTCATCACAAAGAGCATTTTTAACCACCATGTTTGAGGTGATTTGGAACCCCCCCTGATCAAGTCCCTCACTTGGTTGGGATTCGTTCCTGGTAAACACGACAGGTTTCTGACCAAAAGAATAAGATTTAAAGAATAAGATTCAAACCTGTGTGTTACTGGTGGTGCCACCTTGAACCCATTTCCTGCCCTCTCTGGATACCCATTATTTTGACCTGTACACTGAGGATGATAACCATGGTGCTGCCTTGTAGGACAGAATGAGAGAATGAATGGACGGTGCTGGCACGGTGCCAGGGAGCTGGCTCCTGGGACTCCACAGAGCAGTGGTTCCCAACCTTCCTGATGCCGGGACCCTTTAATACAGCTCCTCATGTTGTGGTGACCCCCAATTTCATTGTTACAAATTGAACATAACTAAAGCATAGTGATTGATCACAAAAACAATATGTAATTATATATGTGTTTTCCGATGGTCTTAGGCGACCCCTGTGAAAGGGTCGTTCGATCCCCAAATGGGTCGAGACCCACAGGTTGAGAACCGCTGCCATAGAGCATCACCTGGGAAAAAACAGTTTCTTTCTCCAAACATTTTACTTTTAAAACGTTCTTTGATGACAATCTATTTTCTCTCTGTCTCCGCCCTCAGCTCCATGAAACACTGGGACAGTCCGACTAACCTCTGGCATTCGGCACATGGCCTGAACCACAGGGCATGCTCACAGCCCGTTGCTGACTGCAAATGGCTTCCATGACCTACATAAACACACACAGTGTATGTGTGCACATGTATGTGCACAATGACCTCTGCACAGCCATGTCCCACCCCCGGGAACGCAGGCCTCACAGACCACGTGGCAACACTAGTGAGAACCTCGCAGACCTGCCACGTGCACCCACCACCCAGAGACAAACTTCACCGGGATGTCGGCTCGGCGCTCCCTGCTCTGACCTGGCCATTCCTTCCTCCATCCGACCAAGATTTCAATCATGAGATGCTTTCACTCTCCATCCACTCACAGTCTAGGGAGAAGGAGGTAGGGGCCTGGCCATGAAGGGCCTGCCACAAACGGCATGTTCTCTTCCTGAAAGGGGTTGGGAGTCATCAGAAAATGTTACGCAAGGACCTACCGTGGTCACGTTCGCACTTTATAAATAACACTCCTTCCACATTCTGACAGCAAAGAGAACGGAGGCGTGGGACCCCTACCAGGGAACCTACCAGGCTGATTTCGCCCAGAAAGGATCTCATGTCTAGTACTGTGAAGCCGAAAAACATCCTAAAAATCATTCCTCTGAATCCCCTTTATTGTTGAGATGAAAGAAAGAAAAAAGCCTTATTTTCAAGGAGTGTGGCTTATCCAAGTTCATTTATCTTTTAGAAGAAAATTTAGATTAAATTTAAAATGTACAACCCAGTCTTCCGAGGACCCCCGAGCACCTGCCCCTTTGCCGGCCTTTCTGCTGTGGAAGCCGGAGGTGGGCTCCCTTCCCAGGGCCCAGCTCAGGGCGGCGCCTTTGCCGTGGCTGGACATGCTGACCAGTTTGGGGAGCTGGGAGAGCATCGAGTGCAGCCATGGGCAAACTACGGCCCATGGGCCGGATCCGGCCCGTTTGAAATGAATAAAACTAAAAAAGAAAAAAAAAAAGACCGTACCCTTTTATGTAATGATGTTTACTTTGAATTTATATAAGTTCACACAAACACTCCATCCACGCTTTTGTTCCGGCCCTCCGGTCCAGTTTAAGAACCCATTGTGGCCCTCGAGTCAAAAAGTTTGCCCACCCCTGGGTCTGAGCATGAGAAAAAACGGAACTGGTCTTATCCATTTCCTCATAGTGATTAAACAGTTAAACCCTTTAAATCAGAGATTATTCTGGAGCCTCTAATACGATGTAAATTACAACTCCCAAGTCTTGAATGATGTAACGGACTCAAGACCAAATGCTGCTTTTTAAAAAAAAAATGCTACACATCACATGCAAGTTACTTAACAGGGTCAAAGGCCACAGGGCTAGACGGCCCGGTAATGACCTGCAGAGGGGTTCTGGGGCTGGGGGGCTAGACGGGCCCGGTAATGACCTGCAGAGGGGTTCTCAGGCTGGGACGCTCCCCATCCCCTCGGTCCTCAAAAGCCTGACAGGGAAACCCCAAAGAAGCCCACAGAGCACCTCTCAGCTGTGTGAGGTGCAGTCTCTGTGTCGCGGGGCCCGTTCCCCCAGGGACCACAGGCGCCTGATGGAGTGGCAGCAGGTCCCAGTTTCCCCGGCCCATACCGGGCCGGGCCAGCCGCTCGATCCCTGAAACAAACCCCGCAAGGCACGCAGGTTTCAGATGAAAACACTGAGGACAGATTCGGTTCATCCATGTCGATTGGTACATTCAGGCAGCTGCCTTAACCACCCCGATATCAGAGCCACTCCAGATATCTGGAGCACCAGGTAAGTGCAGCCAAAGAAAACAGCCGGCATCTGAGAGAATCCCAAGCCACCTGCTCTCCCCAAGTCAGTTCATTTGCTGCAAGCAAGCGGGCACGAAGCCGGTGCAGAGCAGCTCCCTTCTTACTACGGCAATCGTGTCATCACCCCTTCCAAGCCCGGATGGTGCCGGGTCAGCAAGCCCCACACTCGGCACCCTCATGGACCGAGGATTCCGAGACCCTCACAGGAGCCCGCACGTCCATCTCCATTTCACAGACGGGCACACAGGCTCAGAGACGCACAGACATCCGTGGACGCTCACAGCCTGAAAGTGTAGCTGCAATGAGGACCCGTGTCCGCCAGAGCAACACCTGTGCGGCCTGCGTCCCAGGCCCGGTGTGTGGACGGGCTGGCACGATGCTGGGGCGCCTCAGGATGCAGCCCCCAGGGAGGGACCCTTCCCGGAGTCCCTGGAGCTGGACTGGGTACTGGCTGCCTTTTTGAAGAGATCCCTCATTGGCACATTAATCCAGAGGCTTTGTTCCTATTCGGTGGATTTGGACGACTGAGCCTCAGACACTGACTTGCCCATCCTATATAATAAAAGCCTAATATGCAAATTGTCCCCTCTACCGGGAGTTCGACCAGGGGGCAGGGCTGGCTGGCCAACCGCCCGCAGCCCCTTCCCCTGGCCAGCGCTGCCCTGGCTGGTGCCGGTAGGTGGCCGGCGGAAAGAAGGCCCTGGCCAGCAGCCACCAGGGACCCTACTTGTGCACTGGGCCTCTAGTTCCTAAATAAACTCCAAATCCACGGCCGGAGCCCCTTCCTAAAGGCCCCCCACTGTTCCCTCACCGAGGGCTCTGAGCTACGGGACCAGGAGGGGGCTCCTCGGTCCAGAGGGGAAAGAGCCGCTCTGTTAAAAAGACTGCCTTGCGAGGTGCTGCATAGCTATGCACTGTGTGCAGCTCGTC